GCAGGGGGGTGGGGGCGAAGGAGTGCAAAAATAATCCTAATGATCAAGGAGGTTGTTAGTGCTCCCATTTTCCATATCAAATTAAACTTGGACCATAATTAATATCTGGTACTTGGCAAATTGTAACCAGATGGTGAGGCAGCAGAAGACTGCTGGGAAACATTTCTTTCTGAATAGCTGCTGTTAACAGTGCGTGTCGCCCAGTATCACAAGGTGAATAAGCACTTAAACGTTTCTTTTAATTCTCACGCCTGGAATTTTTTTTCAGGTTTCCTTTGCTAAAATGATCGGTTTTTTTTTTGAAACTTGGTTCTACCCACCCCACAACAAGAACTCACACTCACTCAACAGGACCGGCAGGGTATATTTTTGTAAGCGAAATGTGGCAGACGATTGCACACAGGCAATTATTATATTATTAATACTAATTTATTATTAATCCCGTCGTGGACTGAGTTTTTAACTTTTTAAAATTGTGCAAGAGTTTAGATAATACTATGATTCAGGCCTAGTTTTGTTCACTCAGGTTTAGGAAGGATGCCAGAGCCTCAGACAGCTCAGAAGAGATTTACTAGACTGATATCAGTAAATCATGAGTAGTCTGAACTATAAGCAGAGACTCCAGGAATTATGCCTATTTGTAAGAGAAAGTTGAAGGGAGACTTGACAGAGGCCTTTAAAATTATGAGGGGTTTTGATAAAGTCGATAGGGAGACATTATTTCCATTGGTCGATGAGTCAGTGACTACAGGGCATCAATTTAAATTCATTAAGCAAGGGAGGAAACGGAGACATTAGGAGGAATTTTGTTTTGCACATAGAGAGAATTGTTAAGTTGTGGAACGATCTGCCGGGTGTGATGGTTGAAGCAAAATCCTTCTTAGCTTTCAAAAGAAAACTAAACAGATAACAAAAAGGGAATCGTTTACAGGGGTAAATTCTGCCCTAAACTTAAACTGCGGTTCTGAACTTAATTTGGAACAATGCTCGGGGAACGTTAGATTGTCAGAGGTGCCATCCTCTAAGTGAGATAGTAATGTTAAATAATAATAATTATTAAATAATAATAATCCTTGCATTTGATATAGCGCCTTATCACGACATCAAGACGACTTAAAGCGCATCACAGAGTATGCTGTAATGTGAATTGACAGTATAGTTTTTGGACGAATCCCAGGTTCCGTCTGCCTATTCAATTAGACACTAAAAATCTCATGGCGTTATTCACTGGGAGAAACTCCTTTCTCTTTCCGAATAGCGCCATGGGATCTTTAACGTCCACCTCAACAGGCAAACGGGACCTCGGTTTAACTTTTCATCTGAAGGAGGGCATTGCCGACAATGCAGTGTATTGGAGCAATGTAGTGGAGCTGAGAGTTTTGAAGTCCCGATGTGGAGCTTTAGCAGGAATTACACAAACTGTAATTGCAATGGTCTCGCCACACAACAGGATAAGTAAGCCGCACCTTCGTATTAGAAGGCTTGAATGCACAAATTTAAAGAAGTGAGGAAGGGGGAAAAATCCTGAGCACAGCAGGGATTTGTACACATCATGCAATTGTCTATAATGTGTCCGTGCTCTGAACCCTGTTCAACAATACCAACCTGCCCACTCCCTCTGGTCGGTGGCACTGGCCTGCTTCATATCCCTCACACTGAACGTCCCGCCATCAGCGGTCAGGCCTTCAACCTTTCTGCTCCCACTCTCTGGAACCCCATTCCGAAGTTACTTCACCTCGCCCCTTCCCTCACCTCCTTCAAGGTCCATCTCAAGACCTTCCTCTGTGACCATGCCTTCAATCATCTTCTTCCCCCACCAGCTCAGGTGCGAGTCCTTGACTGTCTAGCGCCTTAGGACGTCCTCCAGACGTGAAGGGCGCTATATAAATGTAATGTGCTGTTGTTGTTGTTTAAACAATAGACTCGTAAGTCAAAGTATAGCTTTGAACTAGCATTGCACTGAATCATTCCCGATTTACACCACGACTTCCAGACAGAAATGGTGCTGGATTCAGAGCATCAGAAATCATTGCAAAGCCAAAAAGAGTACATTTGAGTAAAAGACATTAAAATTTTTCTTTTAAACACAGGACAGTAATTGTGCAATGACAGTTACTACAGGTAAACGGAGCTTTCCGCTTGTTAAACCGAGTGAATTTCTTTCCGAGAAAGAGTGACACACATATCCCTGCCGTATTATCCATATAAATAATTACAAGCAGAGCAAAAAAAAATCTGTCCTGGATTTTCTCTTTGAAAGTCATCACAATCCTTACATTTGGTGCAGCGCCCTTCACAACGGGAGGATATATAATAAAGTGCATTGATTGTGTGTGCTTTTTGTAGGTGAATGCAGCATCCAATTGGTGCACAGTAATGTCCCACATACAGCCATTGAAGTGAACGACTAGTTTTATCTGCGTAATTTCTGGCCAGAACACCGGGAGAAATTCCCTTCTCTTTTCGAATAGTGCCACAGGATCTTTAACGTCCACCTGAGCAATCAGACACAACCCAAGTTTAACAGCACATCCGAAGGACAGCACCTCCGACAACATCCGCACTTGCTGCAAGATATCTGATTAGTAGCAATGGTACATTTCAATTGCAATCACTTATGTTTTCAGATAAAATAATAATAATAATAATAATCCTTGCATTTGATATAGTGCTTTTCACGTCGGGAGGACGTCCCAAAGCGCTTCACAGAACATACTGTAAAGTGAATTGACTGTATATTTGTGGGCGAACGCGGCAGCCAATTGCGCACAGCAATGTCCCACAAACAGTCGTAGATTGAAAATGACCAATTAATTATTGTTTTTGGTTTTGGAGGGATTATTATTAGGCGTGTGGAGTAAGGAAACCTGCCCAAAGTTTCGCCCGACCTGGAATTGAACTCAGGTCTCTCGCTTGCAAAGCGAGTGCTCTAACCACTGAGCTACAGGACTCCAAAAATAATTGTAATATAAAATACAATAATTGTAATAAAAATTTCTGTATAACCCACAAATACTGCCTTTTTTGGTGCTTTGTCGTTCCACGCCTGTTTGTGGGAGACAGCTGTGCGCAATTGGCTGCCGTGTTTTACCCACAAAACACCCAGCCAATTCACTTTACAGTGTATTCTGTGAAGCGCTTTGAGATGTCTCAACAACGCTATAAAGCGCTATATCAAATCCAAGGATTATTATTATCACTCTGCTGTCAGAGCGGTGCAAACAAAACTTAATCCTGCTGATATATCCTCTATAGAAGGAGTGCGCGGGAATATAATGTGCAATTCAAGTCTGCAGTAGAGGTCAGGAAGCCAGGTGTTTACTCAAAGGTGAGGTGATGTTGCCCAAGTCAAAAACCATGAATGCACTCAACACTCTCGCCCTTCCCCAACACCGCCACAGCATCTGGCTGAACATGGTTTTACCAATGGGAGCAGGGAGTGAGTGTTAAAGACTGAACATGACGTCTCCCACCCCCCACTACACACACACACACACACACACACACACACGCATGATGAGGAGGTAATTGAGAGAACTCTTACTGCACGTTTTGTCACAATCCACTTAACACTTCCATCCTGGAAACCCTCGGACTCCCTCCCTCCCCTCCTTCAAGGTCTGTCTCAAAGGTCCTACCTCTTTGACTGTGCTTTCTGTCATCTTTCTGCTCCCCACCCCTTTCGTCTCCCACCCCCAGCTCGGGTGCCCAGCCAGCTGTGTTGACTGCTTTGAGACGTCCTCCCGATGTGAAACGCGCTGTGTAAATGTAAATTGTACTGTAATTTTGAAGCCACACCACATATATTTGTGTATAAACCATTCATAAGCTTTACTTCTAAACATTTCCAACTTTGACAGCTCTGTCACAGTGATGTAACCCACTGGACTTCGAACCAATAATAAGGTCAAATCTAAACTAGTCACAATATATTAAATTGCATGTTTAGTATAAGTAGTTTCGTACTTTCACTTGTTTAAAGTACTTTTTTGAACTTTAAGGCAACAGGAGAGGTGACTTTTTTAAAAATACAAGGACTAAAGGACAGTATGATCGAGACACAAAGTGTGTATATTAACTCTCCAAACAATCCAATATAAATCGGCTCCAAATGCTCGACAAACAGATGATTGACCAGAAGTTCGACTCAAAAAGAGTTTGTCCCTTTGACAAATCAGTGCCTTCACCCACTAACTCACCCACCTAGATAGGCGAGACACCAAGCCACCCAACCCCCCAAAAAACCACCCACCCGCTTAACCCTGCCACCCCACCCAGACACCCACACACTCAAACCGGCCACCCCACCCACACACTCAAACCGGCCGCTCACCCAACCACTCCACCCATAACCAACCCAAACATCCCACCCCGGCACCTACACACCTAACCCAGCCACCACCCAAACCCCACCCAGACACCCACCCACTCAACCCAGCCGTCCAACCCAGATGCCTAGCCCAGCCAGACACCAACCCACCCAGCCAGACGCCAACCCAGCCAGCCAGATACCCAACCCAGACACTCACTCAACCCACTCTCAACATAGACCCAACTCACCCACCCAACTGTGCGTGTGGAGACACCCAGAAACCCAGCCACCCAGCCAGGCAGCAACCCAACTCATCCACCCAGCCAGACGACTAGACGCGCCAGCCATCCAGACACCAATCCGCCCATGAGCCAGGACCTGTTAAGGCGCGGAGCTTTTGTGACCAGCATCTGCAAAGCCCAAGACGCTCACAAGAGTATTTTCTTTCTCTCTGTCTGTCTGTCTGTCTGTCTGTCTCTCTGTCTGTCTGTCTGTCTGTCTGCTTGTGGCAGGTAAGTTGATTCAATCGCAAAGAGAGAGAGAGAGACAGACAGATAGATAGAAAGAAAGAGTAGAGAAGGTGGTGGAGAAGAGACAACACAAACTTGCAAAAGTGTGTGGGGGGGAGGAACAACAAAAAAAGGAAAGGATGGCATTGCTTTGCATTAATAATGATGCGGTTTCTTACCTGTTTGAACTGTTCCTCGTAGGTCCACTCGTGTTGCTGTGCCTGTGACTGTGACTGGGGTTGGGGTTGGCACTGGGGTTGGCACTGGGGTTGGCACTGGGGCTGAGGGACAGCCAGTGGGGAGAGGGGCTGCCCAGCCACACGGTAATGTTGGTGCCCAAACCTGGACAGCTGGACCGGGGTCCTTTTGGGAGAGTGTCCGGGGAGATGGTTCAGCCTCTCACCATCTCCCTCTGCCTCACCATCTCCATCCTCCTCCTCCTCCCCATCCTCCTCCTCCTCCTCCTCCTCCTGTTGCTGCTGCTCTCTCTCCTCCTCCCCATCCTCCTCCTCCTCCACCACCTCCTCCTCCTCCTCCTCCTCCTCCTCCTCTCCCAGCTCCTCCTCGTCCTCCCCGGGGTCGGGGTCTTGCTCCATCTCGTCCTCCTCGGACTCGGACAGCCCCGCCGGCTGCGGGGAGAGGAGGGGGCGGTGGGGATGGGGATGGGGATGGGGATGGGGGGGATGGGGGGCCCCGCTGGACCCCAGCCCGGCGTCTCCCAGCCCCGCGAGGGCTGCGGCTCTGACCGCCGCGAGGTGCTGCTGGAGCGCAGTGGCGCTCATGGGCTGCGGCTGCTTTTGCGGAGCTCGGGGGTCCCGGGGGTCCCGGGGTCTGTCCCTCTCGTCCCTCTCCCCCCTCTCCCTCTCCCTCCTCTGCCTCTCCTCCAGCTGCAGCCTGGCCTGCTGCTGCCTCTGCAGGTTCTCCATCACCGCCTCCAGCCTCATACCGTGCGGGGTTTGCGGATGCGGCTGCGGCTGCGGATGCGGCTGCGGATGCGGCGGCGGCTGCTGGTGGGGCTGAGCGCCGGCTGCGGAGATCAGGCTGAGCCCATTAGCGGCCGTTAGACCCTGCTGGGTGTGTGGGGTTTTTTTTTGCAGGAGGGAGGGAGGGAGGGAGAGAGGGAGAGAGAGACACACACACACACACAGAGAGAGAGAGAGAGATAATAATGATAATAATAATAATCATTGCATTTCCTGAATATACATAAATAAATGCACACGTGCAGATAAATACTGTATATACACATATACTCTCACACACACATATACTCTCTCTCACACACACACACATACTTACACACACACATATACTTACACACACATATATACTTACACACACACATACTTACACACACACATATATACTTACACACACATATATACTTACACACACACATACTTACACACACACACATACACACACATATACTCTCTCACACACACACACACATACACACATATACATATACACACACACACACAATTGCACATACACAGACAATTGCACACGCACAATTGAACATACATATTCGCACACACACACAATTGCACACATATGTATGTATATAGATATATATACACACGCACACACCATTGCACACGAACACACACACGCACACACACACATATATATATATATCACTCACACCCACACACATCAATACACTTACATTTAAACCCCGGCAAAGAAACTCACAACTCACTCAACTTCCCGACTCTCCTTCTCTCTCTCTCTCTCTCTCGTGTGTGTGTGTGTTGTGTGCAGTGTTTTTTTTTGCTCAGCCCTCTGTCTGTGATCGATAAATATACAGTATTATCTCAGCCCCGATTTGTGTGTGTGTTGAGAGTGGTGAAGGGGAAAGGGGAGGATAGCAAACAGCACTACACTGAGAGAGAGAGAGAGAGGGGGGGGGGTTGCAATGTGGGGTGTGTTGGGTGTGGGGGAGGTGGGAAGAGAGAGATAAAAGTTTAACTAAACTTTTAGCAATTGTTCACTTACTTTGCAACACTTTTCCCCTTCCTTTCCCTCCACAATTTCCATCCTCTTCACCACACACACACACACCCACACACATACACACACACACACATATATATATATATAACCAGCCATAAAGCAAACCAATGCAAAAAAAATCTCAATTCACACACTGCTGGGTGGGGAATTTTAAACAAAAAAATATATATATAGCAAAAAAATTTCTTAAATAACACGTCGAATCGGTTAAGAAGCATTTTTCACCAAATTCTTTTTTTTAATTAAAAAATGTAAAAAAGTAATAAACGCACCACCCACCCCCCCCCACACACACACACATACACACAGAGAAAAAAATTGATCAAATAAAACTTTTAAATATATAATGTATATGATATATGTATATATATATATATAGTTAAAAGGCGAAGCAATGTTGGATTTGCAAAGAGATCGATGGCTTTCTGTCTCTTGCGCCTCTTTCGGTCACAAAAATCATCCCTTTTCGGTGCTTTTCTTTCATTTAAAAGACACAAACAGGCAGGAAAATATCGAAAGTTGTGAATTAAATTTGGAGAATTATAGTTACAGATAAATATGGGTTATAGTTGTACCCCATAAAACACACACACACACACACATACACACACACAGCAACAGCAGCTGAGACCCTTTGCTTATTTATAGTACACAATTATATTTCATTGTAATTAATTACATATATATATATCAAATAATCAGTTTGCGATGTTTTTCCAACAAAAATAGATACTAACCATTCTCTATCAAATGATTGATTCAAAGTTGCTCAAAATCTCACTATCTTGGCCCGAATAGTATTTAAGGCAAACGATAAATGTTTTCTGGTTGAAATGACTATTTTTTTTTTGACTTGCCACAACACCTCCCCCAAAACCAATTTAACACCCCCTCCCCCTCCCAAACACACACACACACACTCCCCTCCCAAACACACACACACACACACACTCCCCTCCCAAACACACACACTCCTCCACAGTTCAGGATCTCATACCCTGTCTTATCTTTAGAAATATCGACACGTACACAAAATTACTCACTTTCCAATCCCCTCCCTCCCTCCCTCCCTCTTCCCCTCCCTCCCTCCCCCCCAAAAAAAAATTCCTAATAGTTTAAGGGGTGGGGTGTTTGGAGAGAGAGGAAACTTCACTCCAGTGCTTACTGTTTCCAAAGCGATAGGTTCTGTGCGGTAAACAGCGAAAGCCACACAGCAGCGCCCTTGTGCGGAAAATATGGACCTCATCGGTTCAAGCGAATCGCTTTGCCCCGAATATCTGCTGTCCATCAACCCACAGCAACTTCCCTATCCCATACACATACACACACACATACACACACACATATACATATATATACACATACATACATACATAATACATATAAACATACACACATATACATATATATATACATACATATATATACACACACAATAATACATATACACACACATATATATACACATACATATATACACACATGCATAATAATACATATACACACACACATATATACACACACATACATAATAATACATATATACACACACACATATATATACACACATACATAATAATACATATATAAATAAACATACACACATATATATATTCACACATGCACATATATACACACATGTATACACACACGTGCACATATACACACACACACATGCACATATATACACGCACATACACACACACACACATATATATACACACACAACACACATATATATATACACATACACACAGACAGGGCGCTTTAATGCACAATTAACAACCCCTTACCCTCCAGCTTTGCTCGATCACCTTTAGTATATATTTTTTAACAATATGCATGTTAAAAATATTTCGATTGCAATATATATATCTCTCTCACATACACACACACACACACACACCAAAGGCGCTTTAAATGCACACTTTACCCCCAGCCCCACACTCCACTTTTGCCAGATCACATTTGGCATTTTTTTATGCATAAAATCAAGTAAATAAGCGAAAAAAAATATTTCGATTGCAATGTACGATCTCTCCCCCCCTCTCTCTCTCTCTCTCTCTCCCACTTCCTTGTACGGTTTTGTCTTACCGAGTTTCCTACAAAACTTTATCGAACGCTTTTCAAATATATATCTGTTTATCAAGAAAATAAATGAATCAATCGGTCGCAACCCTTTTAAACGCGTTTTATTCGTGTTAATAAGCAATTGTAGATATTGGCAATCGTTTGTGTGCTATCTCTCTCTCTCTCTCCCTCTCTCTCCTTCCTCTCTCTATCTCTCTCCTTGACCCTCCTGTTTTCAGATCGTTGCAATTAAAATATTCCCACTGTATTTAAACCCCAGACATCAGTGATCTGTGATTCCAACATGTAGAAAGTCTCACCGTGTTATTGCCTTTGACCAAACTTTTTTTTGCTGTGTCTGTGTCAAAACTTAAAAACATTGCTCTTTCGCTCCTGGGTATGTATGGATCCGTGTGTGTGTGTATGTGTGTGTGTAAGTGTGTGTGTCTGTATGTTTGTGTATCTGTGAATATGTGTCTGTGTGTGTGTGTGTCTGTGAGTGTGAGTGTGTGTCTGTGAGTGTGAGTGTGTCTGTGAGTGTGTGTGTCTGTGAGTGTGAGTGTGTGTCTGTGAGTGTCTGTGAGTGTGTGTGTCTGTGAGTGTGTGTGTCTGTGAGTGTGTGTCTGTGAGTGTGTGTGTCTGTGAGTGTGAGTGTGTGTCTGTGAGTGTGTGTCTGTGAGTGTGTGTCTGTGAGTGTGAGTGTGTGTCTGTGAGTGTGTGTCTGTGAGTGTGTGTGTCTGTGAGTGTGAGTGTGTGTCTGTGAGTGTGTGTCTGTGAGTGTGTGTGTCTGTGAGTGTGAGTGTGTGTCTGTGAGTGTGTGTCTGTGAGTGTGTGTCTGTGAGTGTGTGTGTCTGTAAGTGTGAGTGTGTCTGTGAGTGTGTCTGTGAGTGTGTGTGAGTGTGTGTGTCTGTGAGTGTGTGAGAGTGTGTGTCTGTGAGTATGTGTGTCTGTGAGTGTGTGTGTCTGTGAGTATGTGTGTCTGTGAGTGTATGTGTCTGTGAGTGTGTGTGTGAGTGTGTGACTGTGAGTATGTATGTGTTTTGCAAACTCAAAAGATTGCTCTGGAATGTAACTTCTCCCTCAAAAACGAAACAGAACAAATCCCAACACTACACGTCGCCTCAAAACGTCCAGTTTAAATAAATGAATATATATCTATATACATGTACACACGGGGGGGGGCTCTTGTTTAGTTACAAATCAGTCGTTCATCCCATTTGTTTCAGTATTTTCCACATTCCCCCCACCACCAAAATAAAACAACATACACCAACAATTCCAATTTCTGTTATAATCCAGACACATTTTTTCTTCTGAATATTTTTAATGCCCCAATTAAAGTTTGCTGAGTCTCCCACCACCCTATTTGTGTTTGTGTTTCCCCCTGTCTCCACCCCCCCCCCCCGCCCCACCTCTCTCTTCTCTCTGCACACTTTTTTGGGTGACTTTTTGATTTTTTTTATATAAATGGCTTTTCTAACCTCTTCCCCTTCCCCCCTCTTTCCACTCCCCCTCTCCTCAGCAACCCCCCCCCCCCCCCCCCACACACACACACACAGACACCAACCATCATTAAAATATTTACAGAGACACAGAGAAACACACACACAGGACAGACAAACATACAGTCAACAGCTCCCAGGTCAGTCCTCTGCTCTTTCCCATTGTAACTTAATCTGGGAAACCAGAGAGAGACACACACACACACACACATAGAGAGAGACACATAGACAGACACAAACAGAGAGACACACACACATAGAGAGAGACACACAGACACAAACAGAGACACACAGACACAAACAGAGACACACACACACAGACACATAGAGTGAGACACACACACACAGACACA